ACCACTGTTGATTCTAGTCCTAGTGCAATGCCATTTGTCTTCGTCGACATCTGCGCTGATGAAAGATGGCAGCGGGTAAAAGGGGCTATTGACACCGGTTCAACATGTACCTTAGTAACATTATCTGCAGTTCAGTCATGTGATGCAGCTGCACAGATCAATAGGAATGCTCAGTGTGACCTTGTTGCATTAGATGGCACCCCGATTCACGTGCTTGGTGAGATTTGTCTGGAGCTGAAGCGAGATGATGGTCCTGTTAGTCTCCCTACAATTGATGTTACAGCTGTTGTTGTGCCTGACCTTGACGTTGTTGCTGCTGATGTGTTGTTAGGCTCCGATCTCGTGGCAGCGTCGGGTGGTCTTCAGCTGTGGTACGATGACAGTACCCTATCCGCCGTCAGGTTTGGTGCGACGCCAACTGCTGCACCCGCTACCAGCGCTTCGGTTAGTCAGTCTGCTACCACTAGTGTCCATCCATCGAAACACGTCACCACTGAGTACACGGCCGACGGTGTGACATTCGGCGCTGATGACGGTACAGTGGCTTGGAACGGCTCGTCATGGGAGCTGAGGTGGAACTGGAAGAATGGTCAGCCGCCGGCACAGCCTGTTGGAAGTGGGCTTGGTCAGTACAACCGTAGTAATTTGACACCTGAGCAGGAGGTGAAGTTTAACGATGAAGTGGAGTCCTGGATAGCAAACGGCTGGCTTGTGGAACATAGCAGTGAGATTCACGGAGCGCCTGCAGCTGTACTGCCGATTATGGCTGTGGAACAAGAGCATAAGGAATCTACTCCTATTCGACCAGTGCTTGATTACCGACAGCTCAACAAGTTGATAGTATCGCATCCTGGAAATGATGCACCAGTGTGTCAGGACACATTGCGGAAGTGGAGAGCAAGCGACGATGATGCTGAGTACTCGCTGCTAGACATCCGCAAAGCGTACTTGCAAGTGAAAGTAGCACCGGAGCTGTTGCGATATTAAGTAGTCCTCTGGAAGGAGAAGAAGTACGTGATGACCCGGATGGGCTTTGGTTTAGCTGTCGCGCCAAAGTTCATGGATATCGTAGTGAAGTGGGCGACCCGTGACTACCCAGAAGTCGACAACTACGTTGATGACCTTCGTGTTCCGTCATCTGACACCGATGCCGTCTCCGATGTCCTGCTCAGTTATGGTCTGCCTACCAAAGAAGCGGAGAACATGGAGTCTGCTCGAGTGCTTGGTCTGCAGTTGTTCCGAGGTGACGATGGCCAACTCTACTGGAAGCGGCGCAACCAGTCTAGCCTGCAGTGTCCTGAGAAGCTGACTAGGCGAGAGATATTTTCTTGGTGTGGTCGTCTCACAAGCCACTACCCAGTCCTATCTTGGCTTCGTCCGGCATGTTCGTTCTTGTAGCGTTTGGCTTCCTCTAATGGTGCTGGGTGGGACTCTGATGTGCCTTCTGCTGTTGTGTTGTGTTGTGCTGAGCTTACAGATCGCCTTGCTGCCCAAGACCCCACCACTGGTCGCTGGAATGTTCCAACATCGTCTGACTCGGCATGGACTCTGTATTGTGATGCTTCTGATGTAGCTCTTGGTGTCGTTCTAGAGGTAAATGGCACTGCTGTTGAAGATGCATGTTGGCTGCGACAACCAGGTGAGAAAAAGCACATCAATGTAGCTGAATTAGAAGCCGTTGTGAAGGGTCTGAATCTTGCCCAACAGTGGAAAGCACAGAAATTGAACATTGTTACAGATTCCAAATCAGTGTATGGGTGGCTGACAGCTGTGATAGGAAATACACATCGAGTCAAGACGGGCGGCTTGTATGCAGCGCTTGTTCAACGTTGCTTAGAGATCGTTCTTGATTTCCTGCCAACTATGTCACTGTCTGTCCAGTGTGTTCCATCAAAACAGAATAAGGCTGATGTTTTGTCGCGTGTTCCAGCGACATTTCTTACCGTTTTCAAGTCCTTTGCTAAAACCAGTGATGTTGTGTCTGCTGCTGTTCCCCTCCGAGACAGTGTTATCAGTTTAGCAGATATTGCTCACCACCAGTCAGCTGACAGCACTATTGCAGAAGCCATCCTGTGTGTAGCTGAAGGTCAGCTTACGTGTCCTGCCGCCTTAAAGAAGATCAGGAGCCAACTCGTCGTGGAAGATGGCGTACTGAAGCGCAGCATCAAGCTACCGCTCGGTGAGATTGTGAATGTGCCTGTTATTGCCAAGTCTCTTGAGAGTAGTGTCCTCACTCACTCGCATACACTGACCGGTCATGGATGCTGGGAAACTATGTACCGTTTTCTTCGTGAGCGTTGTTTCGTCGCTGATCTTGCTTCTAAGTGCCAGAAGTTTGTTACGTCGTGTCGTGAATGCTGTGCAGCCAATCCTCGACGAGGTGAGTCCGTACCTCCTGCACGTGCTAGTATTGCTGAGGGTCCTTGGAACATCGTCCAAATTGACACTTTGGAGCTAGGAGCTGCTAATGACTACCACTGTGTACTTGTTTGTTACGATACCTTCACGAAGTGGGTAGAAGTTGTGCCCTTACGGCATCATGATGCTAAAAGTGTTGCGTCTGCCTTTGCTAACGTATGTGCCCGCTGGGGCCCGCCATCTGTTGTGCGATGTGACAATGGCACTGAATTGTTCAACCAAGTAACTTCTGCGCTGTATGATGCATTTGGAGTTACAGTTAAGAGAGGTGCAGTAAGGCATCCACAGTCACAGGGAGCCGCTGAACGGTTTAACCGGACATTGTTAAACCTGATTCGCAAGACATTAGGTGATGCAGATGATTGGCATGCTGAGCTTGATATCTTGCTGTACTACTATCGTGTACGTCCACATGCACAAACACACATTTCGCCATTCCAGGCTATGGTGGGATGGCAACCACGCAAGTTACTACGTGAAAACGTACAGTGTGAGAAGTCTGGTAGTGCTTGGGCTGATTACATTTAATGATAGCTTGCATAGACCTCGGTCCTACCGGTAGGACCTACCGGTAGGACCATCATACACAGACATGCTGCATGGCCTCTGTTCTAACATTGACCTAAAACTTGACCCTAAACTGTTGCTAAGGGGCTAATGAAGAAGTCCACAAATTTTAGACGTGATCGCACAAGGCATACTACGAAATTCCATGGTAACAACCCATGGTAACCATGGAAACGGAGTATGGAATTATGCATTCCACGGCCTTAACAAGCTAATAAAAACATTAGGACCTCACCACAATTGATGTGCCATGGTCAAAATTCACTTTGGACAGAGTTGCTAGCGCACCGACAGGATTATGTGCGGCCATTTTGACAATCGGTAAAATTGCGCATACGCAATGCACTGGACATAGCCTTGCATTTTGCGCCATTACTTTGCCTGACAAAGACCTCATCTCAACAATTGTTTAAAAAAATTCTCAACCAAAAGCACTTTTGCAGCTCGATTTCTTGGGTCCTACCGGTAGGACCCATGGTCCTACCGGTAGGACGGTATGCAAGCTATCATTAAAGCTGCAGCTGCACGAATTCGTGATTATCTTGAGCTTGAATTGTCGACTACTGATTTTGTTGAAGATGTCACTAATAATCCCTATGTTATTGGCGACTGTGTCATGCTGCGTAGGTCTGCCCGCAGGCAAAAGTGTACTTCTCCTTATAAGCCAGGCTGGAAAGTTGAATCTGTTATTTCCCCCAGCACAGTTGTTATTATGTACACTGCTGATAATAGCCGACGCTCGAAGCGTGTGAACGTCGACTTGCTGAAGCTGGACCCTGGTGAGTCACTGGAAGAGTCTCCAGATACCTCTGATGTTGACGATCTCCCTGATGATGATAACCTGGCTGTTGTGTTCGATTCATTTATCAGTGAACCTGCTCGCTATGGTCTGCGTGACCGACACCAGCTACGGCCGCCTGCACGGTACACTGGACTATTGTGCTCACAGTTTCCAGATTGACTGTTTCTGCTTGATTTGCAATTGGGTCTTTTATTGTTTATTGTTTTGTATTTGGTTTGTTTTTGCCTTGTGTCACCAGGGGCGCGTGTAGTAGTAGTGATAATGCATGGTGACACTCAGTGAGCCCTTGATAGAAGTTACTGCTAATTCCTTGACCTATAGAATGACTGTTGCCGGTTCGAATCCCACAATTGCATGTGTTACCTTTTTGTGTCTTTTCCCATTTATGCCAATGATGTAATCATTACTCATTACTCTTTGTAGTAGATAGAGTAGTCACATGAGCTTCTCTGATTGGCTGTTGCTAGGCGCCAGTGCCTGGCCCTGGTATAAAGGCAGTGGTTTCTCCTCATTTCATCCTCTTTCTCTTCGGGTCCTGATGGCGTCGTGAGCTGCTGCTGGCTACTGTTCAAGTACTGTAACGATGACCTTCTCTTCCCTCTTCTCCTATTCCTCCATTGTTGTATGTAACTATATAACATCAAGAAAGAGTGTCTTGTTGTAGATGTGTGAGTGCTTTGTGGGCGCTAGAGTTTGAGCTGGTTACGATTCAGTAACACACCAGTGTGCTGGTTTCGATCAACTGGTGAAGCGATTGGCGTTGCAAACAGCCAAAGTGATCGCTCACGACTGAGCCGCAGCAGTACCCGCGACCGGGTGCAAAGTTCCTTGATCGACGTTGCAAACAGCCAAGCAGGGTGAAGCAATTGGCGTTGCAAACGGCCAAAGCAATCGCTCATGCTTAAGCGGCAATAGTACCCGCGGCCGGGTGCAATGACTACTGATTGGCGTCGCAAACAGCCGACCAATAGTATGCAATTTTAAGCAGAGATAGTAGCAGCAAAGCAACCAGTTGAAGGAAGCTGTTCACAGAAAACCAGCACACGGCACCCCAGCAAGCGTTCACCACCAATGCACAAGAGATAAAAACAAGTGATTAAATTAAGGCACGAGATGGATAAAGGTAGGCATGCAGATGGATGAAATCCAACGCAGGTTCTCAATACGGCAATTTAGCAATGACAATCGGTACCTGTATGTCAAGGCTATAATATTACATCGACTGGAATGGCAGCACTGCTCGGTCTGGTTGTGCTTGAGCAGCTGGGGCGAGACGCCGGAATTCCTCCATGCGGAAACGAGACAGCGAATCGGCAATGCAGTTAGACTGGCCAGCAATGTGAGCAGCAGTGACGGTGAAATTGAAGCGGGCGCACACAAAGAACAGCTCCCTGATCAGGGTCATCACTGGCGGTGACTTGGATGTGCCGGAGCGGATGCAATCTACCACAGCCTTGTTGTCACAGTGCATTGTGATGCGAAGCTGGCGCCATTCCTTGCCCCACGTGCAGCACGCTGTGACCAACGCGTAGAGCTCCTTCCACTCAATGCTGTGAGCGAGTTGCTCAGGCGACCAGGTCCCTTGAAGCCAGCGGCCGCTGTTGAATGTGCCCCAGTCCAGGGTGCCACTGGCATCAGTGAACAGCTCCAAGTCTGGAGATGGTGTCCAATCTGGGAACAGGAAGAATGATTTTCCGTTCCATTGTTCCAGGAGCCGTAGCCACCATTGGATATCTTCCTGGCACTCGGTAGTCAGACTGATGCGGTAGTGAGGCTGCTGGTAGCGACTGCAAATAGACCACAGGCGTCGCATAAATGTCCGGCCGGGTATGATGACTCTTGCAGCGTAGGAGAGTTTCCCCAGAAGAGATTCGAGTTCACGCTGAGACATGGTGGGGTTGATGCTCGCTGCAGTCAACAGGCGCTTGATGTCAGCCGATTTGTCGTCAGGGAGCCGGGCTTCCATCTTCTCACAATCCAGGATAATGCCCAGGAATGTGAGGGTACGAGACGGGGCTTCCACCTTCACAGGCGCGAGCGGGACTCCGACGTATGAGAATGCATGGAGAAGAATGGCCAGCTGCCGATTCGCCACTGCTGGCCCACGCTCACGCACAAGTAGTCATCCAGGAAATGCAGCCAATTAGGGATGGAGAATTCGTGGTGCATTATCCATTCGATGGTGGCTGCCACGGCATCAAATACCGCCGGGCTAGAGCGGAGCCCAAATGGCAAGACACGGTCGTAGTAGTACTTCCCCTGCCACAGGATGCCGAGGAGATGCCAATCCTGTGAAACAAATTCCGGTTGCTGCTCAGTGACACTGCAAAGGAAAGTGCAAGCCAAAGTCAGCGCAGCAAGAGCTACCCAAGGCGATGTGGGCGCGCATTTGGACGCGCATGCACAGCAGTTGAGTGCACGTGTAAAGCCAGCTCAGCCGCAGCTAGCATGAGATAGAGAGCAGCGCATCGGTCTTATCGCTAACTAGGGTTAGCCCAAAAGCTAACCCAACATTTGGATGCATGCATGCCCACCAGCTGTGATTTGAGCTGCTCTCAGTCTTCTTGTTGTTCTTGAGCTGGAGTCTCCACATTTAGTTTCGTCTCTCTTGTCATTCATATTCTAGGTAGTAGCAATAATAATTCAGAATCTATAACCACTGTTAACCAGTCTTTAGATTCATATCATGGTGCAGTGAACATTTCTTACCGTGCTTTGGCTCACCCGGTTGTGATCCGCCTAGACTCGTTGAATTTATTCGTACATTGTAGTTAAGTACTTTGTTTCTTTTCGTTCATTATGAGTGATGCTGGAAGTACCCCGGTCGGTGCTGCCCAACCTGCCTTGAGCCCAGATGTACTGGCCCTCATGACCTTGATGCAGCAACAAATGAAAGCTGCTGATGATCGCGAGGCTCGTCTGACAACGTTACTCAAGAATCAGAACACTCCTTGAACCTTCGTCTACTGGCAAACAAATCTCTGTGGAGCGTCCGGTTTTGCTGTCCTCTGCCACGCTTTCCGCCCTCACCGCTTGGGAGGAAGCGTGGGACGACTACGCCCGATGCCAAAAACTGGCAAGCCAGGACACACATACACAAGTTAGCGTTGTGCGACAAGCTCTTGACGAGGACCTTCGTAGGTATCTGAGGGAAGGAATCATTCCTGTAGATCCCAATGCTGACGTGACAGCAGTGGTTGCAGCCATCAAAAAGTACTTTCGTCGCCAACGGAATCCCCTGCTGGACCGCAACGATTTCTACGATAGGCGTCAACATAAAGGCGAGTCCTTCGACAGTTTTTTCACTTTGCCTGTGACTTTGCGGAATTACGTGTTTGTTGCATGTGCTCTGGGTGTATGGGTACTGACTGCCCCAAGATCCTAGTCACAGCTAACGAAGAGCTCCTTCGTGACCGGGTCGTTGTCGGTGTCCTAGACGATTTCACTCGGCACAAGCTGCTTTCTGAGCAGAACTTGACCCTTTCCAGTGCGGCCAAGATTTGTCATGCGGAAGAAGCAGCCAAGCAGACCTATGATGGAATGCCGACTACCTGTTCCTTTAAGGCTGGATCTACTGTTCGCCTGCACAATACATGTTAGCTACTGGCAAGGTTATGCATACTCGATGTGTCACACAACCAAAACTGAAATACTATAGTAAAGCCTGAGCAAACAAAACTGCTAATACTGGTCCTGTTCATGTTTCACAGCAGTGAGAAACATTAGTGTAGAACAAGAAACAAGATGCTCCAGCACAAAAGTTAGAACATTGTGATACAGTGTTTGTCCATGTTACTAACATACACAGTACCACTGGGTGATACTGCAATGCCGACCGGCTTAGAAAGACAACTGCTTGAACCGAAGGTAGCCACGTGAGAGAACGTGTCAGAAGTGAACACCTAACAGGGTAGCACAATGAAAGCACACACATACCGGCATACACATAACACACACACCGGTATACAAACAACACATACACACACGCACCGGTATACACACACACGCACACACACACATACCGGCATACACACATTCACACATTTACAAATACATGTACACACATACACATATACACATAGACACATACACACATACACACAAACACACACAAACACCCACCACATACATACACAGTCATATACTTCAGAAGTACACATACATTACAATAGAATAGAATATGCCCTTGCAGAGATTATAGAAGGTCCCGAAGGGACCAACAGTGGTCAAGTCGTGAGCAGAATCGGGTGTGGTACACAAGAACGCGAACCAGCGCCAACCCCCGCCCCACACACACATACACACATAAAAACACGCACCACACACACACATGCACTCATGCACACTCACACACATACCGTATTTTCTGGGGTATTGGGCTATGTTTACATGAGAAATTTCAACCCGGGTCGAGTTCGTCTGTACGATAGACAAAATAGGTGAGCGTTTACATGAAGACAGTTGACCCGGGTCAAATACTGATATGCCGCCAAAAGTTCACTTCAACGGTTCCGTATAGTCTCGTGAATCTGTTCGCGCGAAATTTGCATGTGCATTGTGCAGTGCTGTTCAAACCTGGCGCGAGATACGCACAGAAGTACGTTTGTACGCTTTTCTTGACCCGGGTTGATTTCAACCCTCCCCTAGCTTGGGGGAGGGTTGAAATCAACCCGGGGCGAAATTTCAACCCGGGTCAAGCGCAATGCGTCATGTAAACGCGCCATTCATTTCGTGTACATGGCGGGTTGAAATCTGACCCGGATTTTCTGGCCTTTTTGTAGTAATACATGTACATTGACATGTTGAGCCAATGACGACGCCGAATGCATGGTTGCCTGTGGAGCACATTACATAACTTAGCAGTCTCCTAAAATACGTATCCTGTCCGACGGCAAAAGAGTCTGCAGATTTAGTTTTTCTGCGCGTCGACCGGATGTCTGCGACGCGAAAGTTCAGCTCGCGTTATTTGGCTCGCACGTCGAAAAATCAACGCGAGTGACCTGCTGCTCACGTGGAAATTTGGACATTACATAACTTTACAGTCTCCTATAATACGTATCCTGTCCGACGGCAAAAGAGGCTGCAGATTTAGTTTTTCTGCGCGTCGACGGGATGTCTGTCCTGACGTTCACTGGGACCGGCGCTGACTCTGCCGATCACGGGCGTTCTGGACTCGACGGGATGTCTGTCCTGACGTTTCCTGGGACCGGCTTAGACTCTGCCGATCACGGGCGTTCTGGACTCAACGGGATGTCTGTCCTGACGTTGCCTGGGACCGGCGGACTCTGCCGATCACGGGGGTTCTGGAGTCGACGGGATCTCTCTTCCGACGTTTCCTGTGACCGGCGCTGAATCGCTCGTTCACGCTTATTTTGGAGACGACGGGATCTCTCTTCCAAAGTACATGTATGTTAATGCGGACGCATCCTATCACAGGGGCGTGCTCGGCCCCCCAACTAGGGGGGGGGGGGGGTGCACGGGAGCCGAGGGGAGCCCCCCGGCAATTTTCTGCAATTTGTTTGCAACCTTTCTTGAATTTTAGAGCATATTTGCATACATTACAATTGCAATTACCAAGATTGGAAATTTTAGGGGGGTGCACGTGCCCCCCGTGCCCATCGCCGAGCACGCGCCTGTATCACCTATTCGGCGTTTATTCTAATTTAATTTCCTCCTCGTCTCCCTATTTCTTTCCAAATCTCCCTCTACATCAGGGAGTAGTATACATAATACGACGAATATTGGTACGGTACGGGACAGATACAGGAGCCCGCAAATATTGTGCAGCTGTTATGTACAATCCTGTAGAGCCTTTGTAATCACAGATACGGGACAGATACGGGACAGATACGGGATAGCTCCAGCCGTGACACAAACAAACAAACAAACACACAAACACCAAATTAAAGCTGTGTGGACCCTGGCTAGCGCCAGACGTTACTGAAGTAACGTCTTCTGCATAGCTACGGGAATAAAAGAATAATAAACAGCAGCGGTTCTTGACAGCCATTGATTTCGGCGTCTTCCTGCTGACCGATTTCGGAAATGCCTAAAGTCACACTTTTCGCAGTATAATGGTGACTGAGATTGTATTTGCATGCGGTAGCCGGTAGAGGCACCAAAACATTGATTTTCGGCGAAAAGATTGGTGATTTCTTCAAAACCACTGTTTTCGGCGAATTTTTCGGCCGGCCGATTTGGGAAATGCCTAGTGGTAAGACAATATTGGAAAGTGGGAAAATAGGATACACTGTACTGGGTAACTGTTTCCCATGCCCACCGCCGCCGCCCCCCCCCCCCCCCCTACTATTTTTACCTGGTTAGAACCCTGCTACATGTACATATACACGTACACGTATGTCTAGTGGCAATAGTAAAATGAGAGCTTTTACACTTGCTAGTGGTGATACCGGTATGCTGTGCTTGTCTTTTGTGCAATGGATCAATTCCAACATTCATACCGGTAACCCGGAGTCACGGAACTGGGCCTCCTACTGAACCCCGACAAAACTCAACTATTAATCGTCCGCCGGAAGACAACCCCAGTTCCACCTACCTTCACTGTCATCTGTGGTAACTTCCCAGTATCCCCTTCCCAGTGTGTCCGTTACCTTGGAGTGCTAGTCGACCAGCACCTTGCCTTCAAGGAGCAGGTCGGGAAAGTTGTTGCTGACGTCAACCGTAAGCTGGCCGCATTCCGCAGAATACGACATCACATCACCACCCAGGCACAACGTTCCTTTTACCTAAGCATTATCCAATCCACCATGGAGTACGCCAGCAACTGCTACGTTCACACGATATCAGCAACCCTATACAACACACTCATTCGATGCTTCAAACGTAGCCTCAGGATAACATTTGGCTACCCACCATGCCACCCAACCGCCACCATTTGTCAACGCCACAAAATTATTCCTGTCGCCATCCGTTATAACCTAAAGATATTGTGCCTTGTCTATAAATGTGTGCATGGCCGCCGCAGCCCTCTACTTGCCGAGCTTTTTGTACTTAGATCAAATAGCAACCATACCAATGCCTTGACCAGGGGACAGTCCGCCCTGGCTTTAGCCCTGCCTAATGCTTCGTCACAGTACGGTTTCTATGCTGTGCCTTACCTGGCTGTTGACAGGTGGAATTCGCTTCCAGCAGCATGCCGCCAGGCAGCCTCCTTTGCAATGTTCAACAGTACTCTTCGCAGCCTCTTTTGCAACACATAATGGCACAGTGTGCAGCCACCGTTTTCTTTTTTCTTTACTCTATTTCACGCACTTACGGCTTTCTTCATTCAGCTCTATTTCACGCACTTACCTAGGGTACCCTGTAAAAAGACTCACAGTCTGTGGGGATTGCCCTAGTAAAACAATAAATACTACTACTACTAGTTTCGTGTGAAACACTCAGCAGACATCAGACATCAGACAGCATACATGTATGACCAAGACTAGCATACATGTATGACCAAGACTAGCATACATGTATGACCAAGACTAGCATACATGTATGACCAAGACTAGCATACATGTATGACCAAGACTAGCATACATGTATGACCAAGACTAGCATACATGTATGACCAAGACTAGCATACATGTATGACCAAGACTAGCATACATGTATGACCAAGACTAGCATACATGTATGACCAAGACTAGCATACATGTATGACCAAGACTAGCATACATGTATGACCAAGACTAGCATACATGTATGACCAAGACTAGCATTCATGTATGACCAAGACTAGCATACATGTATGACCAAGACTAGCATACATGTATGACCAAGACTAGCATTCATGTATGACCAAGACTAGCATTCATGTATGACCAAGACTAGCATACATGTATGACCAAGACTAGCATACATGTATGACCAAGACTAGCATACATGTATGACCAAGACTAGCATACATGTATGACCAAGACTAGCATACATGTATGACCAAGACTAGCATACAT